CTTATAGTAGCTCATATATGCTCCCAATAGGCTACTGTATAACTTTCATGCCAACTGAACAAGTATATCATCCTCTATAAAAATGACAAGTTACATAGGATTATTTTAGTGAAAATGGTTTGACCTAGTGAGAAGTGTCAAACAATATATTTTAATTTTTTCTTAACCTCATCTTACCACAATAACACTGTACAAAAATTTTGCATGACCATATGTTACCTATTTTTATTCTAATGAATTTCACCAGAAACACCATTTATTTAGGCTTAAATAGAAAGACCCTATTCAAAATAGATTTACTGTGGGTTTATCATTTTTCCTAGCTAGAGCATGTTAATACAAACTCAACAAAATTGGAATCATATTTTTATCACTTTCCTAGCTCAATATATGCATTTTACAAGATTTAAACTAAGTGAAAAGCACTTTATTTGCCCAATTTAATTTCCCCAAGAAACATGCTAGAACTGTATATTTTATATTTTTAATAAATACTACACTTCCTAAGGAAGCTAACAAAATTGGAATCACTCAAATTGGATAACCCTATCTCAGATATGAATTTTTGAAACATGTATTCAAATCTGTGAAATAAATAAGAAAAATCAAAGAACACACATACTGATAGATGGGGCCTGCGGTCAATGGGGCCCGCTCATCCGTGACACTAGCGTAGGGCACGGCATTTGACTGGCGAGAACTCGTCGACGGCGAGGTCTCCGGCGAATCCCTGGGCACCATCGTGTTCCTCTCGTCAACCCGCACCCAGGGGTACCCTAGGTTGGGTGGTGGCTCACTGGAGCAAGCTCACAGGCGACCATGGCGGACGGCGGTAGTCACGCGGTGGCGCGTCGGCTGTCTTCGGCCATGGTAGGCTCTGGCGAGGATGACCCTACCTCTATGGTGACCTAACACAGTTCTAGAGCAAGATCTGGCCATAGTGGAGCAGTGGGGGAGCCTGACAGCGTGCATGGTGGCACGACAGCGCCCAACGCACACGGCGGGGCTCTCCGTTTTGTCTAACTAGTGGCGAGAGGTGGGTCTCCATGTTCACGGTAGGAGCTAGGGTTCGTGGGCATGCACAAACATCTTCGAGCGGGGGATGGCGAGACCTAGGGGCTGCTGCCCACGGTGAGCTCGAGCTCATGGCCATGGCGGGCATGGCGGTGCGTTCCCACGTGACAGTATGGTAGCATCTACCCTAGCTCCGGCTAGAGCAGCGGTGACCTAAGGCAACTACGGACCAGAAGATAGGAAGGTAGGAGATGCAGTGGAGCGGCCTGGCCACTATGAGCCAAGAGCGCGGTGGCGCTCCAGTGCCAACGGCGGCGACGATGAAGTAGAAAGCCGCTTTACCTCGGTTCGAAGGGTGGCATTGGTGTCTCGAGGAGGTGGGGTGATAGTGGAGTAGTTGTGGCCAAGAGGAATCAACCGATGGAGCTACAACAACAGCGAGCGAGCTCAGCTTCGCTCTAGCTGGGCGCGGCGAGAAAGCAGGGTGGGAGGGAGCAGTAGGGGCGCGGCCCTCTTGTCCGTGCGCTGGCCCGATCAGCCCAGCCATCACTGGCGTATGGCCACGACATGGCCGCCGTAGCCTCGTGCAGTCAGCCACTGATGCCGCACGCGTTCGCGGTCATTAGAGCCCGGCGTGCATGTCTGACAGAGCAACTTTGTGACCATGTAACTCCTAATTCGTGGTGAGTTAGTGCAAGGTGTGTGAACAAATCTTGTAGAACTATGTAAGGGCTACAAGATTGCTTTAGAAATCATCTTCTAATTTGCAATGGTTTGGAAGTTACACCACCTCAAAGTCAGGTACATTGAAACTGTAATCAGCTCCAACACTTAGAAATTTTTTTCAAAGTCCAAAATAGTATTTTCTTGCTACTTGTGAGCTATTTTTGAGCATGCTATGCGCTGAATTAGGTCTTGGCCCAAAAATGAAAGTTGTTACTCTAGTCAAGTACTACAACTTTGCTTAAGAGTGCACTGTCATGCAAGCACTCTTAAGCATAGTTCAACTTTGGTCAAACTAGTAACTTGAAAATTAGAGTTTCTAGAATAACTATGACTTGGGGGCTGTTTTGGTCCATGTCATGAATACCAAACTTATTCCATGTACCATCCTAAACATGTTAAGGTGTTTCTATGGCCCCACAAGCATTTCATGCATTGGTCACACACAATGGCAAGCATATACATGCATATAGCTATCATCACATGTAACAAAAGTAAGGTGATTGAGATAACACTTCATATGCTTATGCTCATGGATGATCAAATGATGCTCATGCTCAAGAATGCAAGTGCCCAATGCATGCTTAACACTAGGGTGTTATAGGCATAACTATTGGATTTGTTTATGGACTCTATAAATAGAGCTTGGCCGGCTTGGGCTCACTCTCTTGGCCTTTTCTATTGAGAATAGACCCTAGTGAGCCTATCCATTCCTCTCTAACTCATCTTGCTTAATTGATTCATTATTTGGTGAGATTGAAGAGTATCCAAGTGCATTGCTTTGAGTGGCTGCATCTAGAGACACTTGGTGATTATATTTCGCTACGGATTTCGCTTGTTACTCTTGGTGGTTGCTATCACCTAGATGGCTTGGAGCAGCGAGGATCATTGAGCAAAGGGTGGTACTTGTCTCTGGCTCTGATCGTGGTGATTGTGAAGGGTTCTTGAGCCTTCTCCATGAGAGATCACGAATTGTGTTGGTTGTGCGGCACCCGGTTGCGGGTTAGGCGTGTGATGCCTATTAGCGCATGAACCTCCAAGTGGGTGAATCGCTACAACAGGGACGTAGCTTGCCGGCAAGCAAGTGAACCTCGGTGAAAAATCATTGTGTCAATTGGTATTTCATTGTGATTGATTTTTCGCTTGCCCCGGCTCGGTATAAAATCCCCTACCTCTCTTGTATTTACATTTATAGTGATATCTTGTGTAGAGGTAGCCTGCCTAGTTTTGTAACTCTCTAGTGTAGCATAGAAGTAATTAGTTGAATTACTCTTGCTAGGTTGCTCACTAGTGGTAGATTAGTGGCATAGCCATTGTGTGATTACTACTGATCATAGCAGACTAGAATTGTGGATAGGTGGCTTGCAACACTTGTAGTGCTAGTGCAAAATTTGCTTCGCCATTTAATTGACTAACAAGTTGTCTTAGTGTCTTTGTAGAAATTTTTAATAGGCTATTCACCTATTCTAGCCATTTAGGACCTATCAAAGGGTTCAATGTCCTTTTCTAGCAAAGGTTGGATCTCACAATCAATACCAAGCTCCAAGAGGATCAGCCAGACCTCATGATTCATAATAGCAATATGTCTGTTCCAAGCCTGGTTATGTGCAACAAAGGAAATAGTGCCATTGCCATATGGGTGGGGGCTATAGTAAATCAGAAAGTCTCTAGCATGCATATAGTTAAACCGCACAAAAGCTTGACCATGGGAGCATAGTTGCAACGAACGGTAGTCAACCCGCATCTTATTATGGAGGGAATCATCAATGATGTTACGTATGGCCAAGAAATCAACCTGCTCTAGCGAGAGTGGATGCAAAGTGATGATGGCTAGATCACTGTTCTTTTCTAGCATCTGACCCATGATGATCCACAACTCCCTTGGTCTTCCTTGCACCATGATCCACTGCCCATAGTGTGGCATAAATGGGGTGGGATCAACCATACGGAAAGCCATTGACCGCTGCGGAAGAAGGGGAGATGTTAATGTAGCTGAGGTTTTCTCAGTCCAAGAAATGTGCGGTAAGGAGCAGGAGAAACCCGAACAAGGGAAGCGAACTCGCTGAACAACGAGTAGACTGGCGGAGGGGATACAATTGACGTGATCACCGGCGAGGACGTCGGTGAACTCTCCAAGGTTTCGTCATTGAACTCTGGCACCATGATACTCCAGGGCCGAGACCAACGAATGAGAGAAGAGGGAAGCGGAGTAATGCCAGTGAGTAAAAATAGTATTCTCCAAAGGAAGCAAATGTCCCTAGTTATCTTTTGGCCCCAACAGTTGGTGAAATAGCCTGGGCGACGGCGAGAAGTTGAAGAGCTGCGATTGAGTCTCACCATGGAAGGGCATGGAGATTGAGGTGGGAAACGACAATTTGATAGGTGTGTCCTGAGCAATGACAGTTGCGGCAATGGATGGGGTTTGGGTAGAAAGGCCTGGTATGGGACAAGGAGAACATTTGGAACATGGGCTAGGGGCCAGCGTGGCACTCGAAGTCTTTCCAAGAATGCCATTAGCCAGAATGGAAGATTCCCATTGATTGGGGCAACCATTGGAAGGTCCAACAGAAAAATGGCCATTATACCAAAAATTAGCCGGAAAAAATCAACTGTCTAGCCAGAGACGAGAAAAAACGAGTGGAAAGGGAGGAAACCACCAGCACCTTGCATATATAACAGGACGGTAAGTAATCCTAGCTAGACCAATTTTGGGTGGCACCAATGGCGTGCACCAACTCTGCCATCTTATGGCTTGCCTCCAAAATCAGCTTGCTCATACCTACACGGCAAGGAAATTTTGTTCCTTGCGGTGCAATCTCAGGGCCCTTTTTTTTGCACCCAGAACATCTCATGCCAAATTAAAACACCATACAACCTACCAAGCAGAGACAGTTGCAGCCTATAAGTCTGGCTGGAGGCATGTCTAGGTTACCAATTAGGCTCGAAGGTGGTCATAGAAGTAGAGTGTGTATGCTCGTGTATATGAGCCTCTATGTTTATACTATGATTCAAAAAAATATCTCGGACAATTTTCACAAATGTTTGGTCACAGTGAACTCATGAAAAATGCATGTAAGGTACTATCATATAATATTTGCACAAATCAATGAAACATTGTAGTTGGCACTAGGTACTTTGATTCTTTGGCTGCCTTATTGCTGTATGATTTATCCAATTTCTCCACATCGTGCTCTGTTTGATTTAGTACTACATGGCCTTGCACAGAAATAGGCCTCCCATCGTCAGGAGCTCCTTCATGAGTTTCACAGCTTAGTACCATTGAGCCAACGGCTGTAGAAAGCCAATGATTCCTGTGGTTTATACTCAGGAACTGTGTGCCCAGCACCCTGCGAAAGGAACAAACAGGATAGATAAAAAAAGGCAACTTAGTCTTTTTTGTGTTTCAAAAATGTGTGGTCATTAGATGTAATTTGTTTTTGATTTGGCAGGCTAGTATCATATTTGCAAATCCATGGATTAATAGACAAAGTTTGATTTGAAACTGTGCCACACCTTAATAGTGGCGAAAGTGAGGCCGTTTTCATATCCTTGGGTGTACCTGAGTAGTATAGCAAGCAAAAATATGTGAGCAAGCAACATGTCCTTAATTTCTGTCCTTGAGAACATACAAACATTTGACTGAAACAATGGAAAATAAATAAACCACTTAACTGAAGATTTCCCTTATGAAACAAATGTTAACTTTTGTTGATTATAGTGAATTCATATCCAAGAATAATTATTCAACCTCAAGGATAAAACGGTTCAAAGATCCTAGGAGAAAAAAGTGAATGTTTGTTCAAATACCCAGCAACTTGGTCATTGACAGTCCATTGTCGCCACGAATCAATGATGCCGTAGCCTAAGGATGCAGTCCATGCTTCTGTCCCAGTGTGAGGTACACACATATCGTGGTCACCGCTGAAACAAATGCAAAAGAAATATAACAATGATAATAGCAGCTTTTCTGAGTCTAAAAATGTAAGAGCCCAAATCATATTATAATTTTATAGGTTCTTAAAGTACCTGTAAATGAAAGCACGATAACCCTGGCTTGTAAGGTTCTTGTGATAAATGATCATACTCCCAGCATCATGATTAAAATCCAATTTATTTGTGCATAATTCCCAGGGTCCAATTGAACTGACCTAATATATGTGCATGATAAACTATGGTTAGAAGGTGCAAAGCTTTAGAATCGATCCATTAATAAGTACAAGGTGGTTATTTAGTGTATGACTATCATACTGGTTCGGCGTGAATTGCAGATCTGACGTTATCATTGTTTAGCCATGCCGTTGCAACTTCATCACTCTGAAGATTAAGGAAACAAGACAGGGAGGGTACATAAGAAAATGGGACAAAACGAATCATGCTTCACTTGGGAGAAAAAAATTACTCCTCTATATTTCAGAGAAGATAAAGCTGGAAGATGTTCCTTCCTTACACATTATAATCGGAGAAGATAAAGATAAATGAACTAAACAGCGTGTGGAATTGCACATATTAGTATCAGTGTATTACTACACAAGCTCACATACATATATGGCGATCTATAGTGGGATGTCTTACACATTGACTAAGCATATCTAGATTTGCTTCATGAATATATTTTTTATTTGTATCTTTCAATATTGTGATAGAAACTAGTGGTCAAATTTGTAAGTAAAGAGGATGGAAGCAACCAACAATGACTTCTGCAAAGAAAATGAGAGAGTACAAAAAGACATGAAGAGCAACCTCTGGAGCAGAACATTAATGTTATGACAGATAATAGAGTTATAGTAGGGATGGTTAGTGTGCTTGTGCTCACCATACACGGAACTCCATGGGGAACTGATGCAGCTAGCTCCTGCCATGATGGAACACGCCCATCTCTTACAGGAGCTCTCAAAGGCCAGGCCCGTCCATGCATTCTTGTTCTTACTGGAAGGGGCTTGCTAGTTACACCAAGATCTTTGAAACTTGGTGGCAGTTTGTTATTTTGTGGGATCACTTCTTTGGTATTTGTGCCATGGTAGCATGGCTCAAGAATGTCATAAATATTTAATCCGCCAAGTACCTACACAAAAACATATTATATAATATGAGAATAATATTTATTTATTTTTACCAGATAGTGTCACTGGTTTACCGCATCGACTTTTGACAGCGCTTCGTCGCATGTTGCACTGCTAGCATTCCAGTAATTTTCTTGACATGCAGTGTTGGCTTCCTACATTTTGTATAGAAATTGTGGTAAATCAAAAGAACATATGTATGTTTCAACGGACACACAAAGTTTTAGAAGTATTTTGTGTATTCAAAGGATATGAAGGAAGTGTTCCAATTCCATCAATAAAACTTCATGGTGTAATTAAAGAAATTATTTTAGGGTGAGGATATCAGTCGTGGTACAGTTATACTGATGTACCTTGTATATACTCTCTGAAATTAGAGCCATTCCGTGTGCAAATGGCACAAGAGCGTTACCATCAAAGACGGTGTCGCATACACCATTGCCAACCATGTAGCCCTAACATGAGAGTACAGAACAAAACTTTAAGCATTATTATATATATTTCCTTGGTAGCCATGTTTGCCATTCTCATGGAGGCAGCAACAATATAATTAAAATAACTAACCTTAAAGTTTATAATTGGCTTATCTCCTTTTTGGATTCCTGTAAAATAATTCATCAGTAATAATATCAAAACAACTAGCTAGCAGTTTAAGGATCATTACTATCCCAAAGCCATAACCTTTGACAACTTCATGTGAAAGGGTAGGGACATAAACTCCAGCATATGACTCTCCAGCTATATAAAATGGATTTGTCAAGAACTCAGGGTAGAGCTGGAACCACTGGTTAAAAGTAACGGGAGGGAACTGATCAGCTTTTGTTCTACAAAAAGATTATAAATGATAAATTTACTAATGCACCAGCACAAAAGAACATATATATTTACCTTGAGAAGAAAAGTATGCGAATCAGCAGCAGTCTTAAGATCACCAGTTTCATAATCTGAAACATTCTTGGAGTAAGACAGCCCAACACCAGCAGGGGAGTCCAAGTATATCACACTAGACACCTACAATGCAAGCGAAACATCACTAGTCTGTCTCAGTTCAGCTTGAACACACCAGATAATTTATCCTTGGGACCAACGGAAATGTCCAACCTTAGACCAGCTATAAGGGTTGAGATGAAGCTTTGGCAAGCTTCCAGCTGACCCTCCTGCCTCAAAGTTGAATGGCCCTGGACCCCAAAAAACACACATTAATTGAGATGAAAGATGTAAGAGTGTATTAGGCATCTCTAGTTTGGGTTAGTTCCTTTACTTGGTATTATAAGTTGAGATTCAGGTTCTAGGTCATAATTCATAGTCTTTTGCTCTACCTATGCCCTTATGCTCGTGCCACTAATTGTCCATCCTCCGCTGCGCAATAGCACCCCTCCCCACCAACACTCACCCACCCACCCAAGATCACCCATGATAATCTCCGCCATGGATGACAGGTCCACCATACCTAGCCTGTCGCCACCAAATGCGCGTTGAACGATCACCCCTAGAGACAATCTTTTCTTGATCGGATAATCAGGGTTTTCTCACTTTCTAGTCATTGATCAAGGTTCCTTATTGTTTTCCCGATCTAACATCATTTTAATTCCCCTGCAGCCCTCATCTTTGCGCGTGCCTCTACATTGACACCGGCCTCAACTACATTGGCTATACCCTCATCGGCCTCAACAACATTGGCCACCTCGCACGTCACTCAATGCTAGCTCATCATTGCCTCCATTGTCATCAGGTACTACACGCCTCCTCCCTCCAAATGCTACTGCATCTTATTGCCATGCCACATCATCTCCACTCATGGTATTCTTTGCAATTGCATCTTAATTGACACAAACTACTTATGTGGCTATGACATTGTCCACATCACGTGCAAAGTGTTTGGTAGGATGTTCATGTTCTTCATATCAAGCATCGCCATCATGGCATCCAAATCACCAGGCCTTGCACCAGATCACCTAGACCTACCTCCTCACTTTGTCCAGTACAAGCTCCTTGCTAGCTTCTCCATATCTTCCTCACCTATTTCGTCTACTCCAACAACAGTGGGCTGCATTGGTATCTCCTACCCTACCATTTTGTGCACTATACTAATCCCGGAGGCTTTCTCTGCTAGTACTTTAGATGTTGATGCATGGTTGAGAACCTCCCTCTAGTACATCCAGTATTGGCAACACCAATGGTGTCTTTATCCCTAACACAATCCTAGGCATGGTAAACCCAGTGCATACCTCATCCTTGGTGACATCAACTGCATCCTTGGCATCAACTCTCCCTCAACGACTGCCTCAATGCATCGTATTCATTCATGGTGACACCTTGGGTATCCGAGGCTTCTTGTGTGGCTAACTCATCTTTGGAAATTTTGGCATCTCTGTTGACCACAGCTATCATACACACGACATCCTCGACAATATCAACATATGCACAAAGACCTATCATGATATCGCCCCGCTTGAGTAACTTTTTAGCTTCACTCCATCCAACATCCAGGATGCATGGACCATTATGATCGCAAGGGGTGATAACTCTTCGAGTTACAACCTAAGGCTTGTCTGCGGCATCCCCATTATGAATGTTGCGAAATGTTAGAATATATCTTTAGGCTTAGGCTCACGCTTATTGCTTGATCCAGGGGCCTGTATAGTACTTAGTATGAGAGGTAGAGTTGTGTGCTCTTATAATCTCTGCATGCTGTAGCCTTATTGGCTCACTGGCCATGTCAACGACCCTTGGAACTTCGTGTAGAGCAGCAGTGACATCATGCACAGGGGACAAAGAAACCCTTTGGTGATGAAGTGCGATAGTGGACTGCATCAATGTGACCGGGAGAGTAGGGCATCTCAAAGGTGAGGGTTTCATGGCTGGGAGCATATTAAGGAGCTCTAACATGGTCTAGGGGTTCCTTTTCAGCAACCAGTACCACAGGATATATAACAACGCTTCTTGGAAGTTTGGTCTTTCCTCACTTGATTTTTACTTATGTCGCTTATGTTTCATCTGTTTGTGTGTCTTCTACCTTTCTAGATTAACTTAGGATAGTTGATACGGTTGGTTATAGGTTGCAGAACTCCATGTGAGTGGGTAGGTAGAGACACTAGATAATCTCTAAGCGGACTTCTTGTCAATTAGTAGTTATTATCTAGCGTAGAATCGTGTTGGAGCCCTAGGTTAATTTTTTTTATTAGTGATCCAATTTACTACTCCCCTCTTGGGTCCCGCTCATATGTTACTAATAAGACCGCTAAATTCTTTACAAAGCTACATCTAATATTCTAAAGGAAATACCAAGTTGTCAAGCAATATTGTGATGAAAAAAGAGCAAAGATAAGAATACAAATATTGATCATATATATCAAATTAAAGGAACACTAAAAAAATAAGATGAAGTGTATCAAATTAAGCACCCAAGCTTTTGTCTATGCTTTGGAAAAGGAATTTTTTGGCCCGAATTATGTCTAATAAATTATGGAGTTTGCATTGGTTCTCTCCATATTCCATCTGGTGGTCCTTTTCTACCTTTGTTCATCACTAGCGTCTAGAAATATCTATTGCCATAACCCCATGGTCCTCGGCCACCGGATTTGTGATTCGCTAAGCTAACTACTCTCAAGATGATTGATGCCTTCATCCGGACTCGACCCACCAGCCGTCGTCCTTCACCACCCTATTAGCAACCCCTAGCGCGTCACCACACCATCCACTAACAACCTCCACTAGTGGTCCAACATTTCCTCCCAAAAAGGCATCAACCCCAAAACATGCATAATACCAAACCCCTACCTTGGCTCCTGGTGCCACACTACACATCCGCCAATCGCCTTCACTGTTGAACCAACATTTATTCCAAGATCCCTAAAACCGCAAGAACCTAAAATCCACGGACTTACCCCACGTCCGTATTTATGTAACTCTGCACGTCAGGCAAATTTGATCTCGTCCACTACGCAGCCCAGCTCACCACCCATCCATGAAAGTTTTGGATCCCAAAAATGCTCAATTATTCTACATCATCCTTATCTGCAGATCCCTTACTCTAACGAGTTGGTTGGAAAAGATGGTGAGAGGAAAGCAGGAAAGAAAAATGCGATGGAGAGATGTCAAATATAGCTGGGGAATATCATGATACTAGTTTAGCTTCCCCAGAAGACAGCGACGTGATATACGCGTCCGGCAACTTTGTGCGATGCCGATGCCTAGTGTTCTTCTACTAGAAAGCAACCAGCAGCCATCCGGACCCCACCGCTACCTTCTTCCTCGCCTAGCTTTTCTCGATTCCGTCCACAACAGGGACAGGCCACACACAACCAACGACGATGATTGGGCAAAGAAAACTCGTGACGACACGCAAACGACGACCAGAAGAAAAGAAAGAAAGGAGAGGCCGGGCAGAGGAGGAGGTCGTCGTCGACGAGGGACGCAATTACGCACCGTGCTCGTAGACGAAGCCGTCGAAGCTGGAGCAGCCGGGCCCGCCGTTGAGCCAGAGCACGACGGGGTCCTTGGCCGGGTCGCGCTCCGACTCCACCAGGTAGTAGAAGAGCCGCCTGCCGTGCGCCTCGTCCACCGTCACGTACCCGGCGTAGTGCTTGGACGGCAGCTTGCTGCCCGCGAACCCCGGGACGTTCGTCACCAGGGCACCGGGCGGCGCGGCGAGGCAGCAGCAGGCGAAAAAGGCGTTGGACAGCAGCAGCAGCAGCGGCAGCGGGAAGGCTGGAGGGGCAGCGGTAGAGCCGCCGCGGGCCATTGCTGCGGGTGTGGGAGTGGCCAGTGGGAGCTAGGTGGACGATAGATGATACAGTAACTGGCCCGGATGGAGCGCGTTTAAATACAGATGAGCTGCTGGCTCCGGCGTGTATGTACTATGTGTTTATGTAGTAAGGGAATGGTGACGTCGACGACAAAGCCGGCGCCCGGCGGTTGTGTGTCGGTGTGTGTGTGTTGGAATTCTCACCGTCTCAGCCTACCCACTAAGACTTGAGTCACCCAATGCAAGTCGGCCAAGCCACGCAAGGATCTGTTGACCAGTTGACGGATTTTGCAAAAGGAGAAGCAAGTCAGTTAATCTTTTCCACCATCCATGTATGACTGTCCGTATCTAATATACGAGTATGATGATGTGTGTGTGCACTACCTAGCTTCTCTCGCAAGGCTTGGTACTCTCCGACGGGTTACTGCCCTATATCCTAAGTTATAGGTTTTTTTTTCTAGACGTAACTAGATATATGTATCTAAAAATGTCAAAACAACGTATAAATTAGGATGGAGGGAGTAAAATTTAACTTGTGTTGCGATTTTTGGTGGTAAGAACGATCAGGGTTTAGAGGTGGCGGCGAAGAGCAACCACTGTGAGCAGAGATATGGCCGGCAGCGAGAGGTCAAGTGACGGCCGTCCCGGTGAGTGGGTTGATGACAGCTGCGAGAGTGGACGGAGGCTCAAGATCCGCCAACATCTATTGACCGCTGGAGATACGATATGAGTAGGGATGAAAACGGATCGGATACGAACGGATATCACTCATATTATATTTGTTTTCATATTTCTGTTCGGATTCGGATTCGGACACGGATAGCGTTCGGATACATATATGAATACGGATTGACTCGGTTACGGATACGAATAATGAGTATCGAATACGGTATGAATCGGATTCGGAGAAGGTCGGATACAAATATCTATTCGGATATTGAGTAAAAGCAGCATATATATATATATATCTATTCGGATATTGAGTAAAAGCAGCATATATATATATATATATATATATATATCATACGTGCGCAAACCATTACACCACTCTATGAGTCCATAATCCAACTAGATTAAGCCGAAAGACTAAAGAGTAAAGCAACAAATAAGATAAAGATACAGATACATCATACATCATACATCAAACATCATACAAGCACCAATCTTCGCGGCATGAGTAGAAATAGCCAAGCTCATGGCTTCATGGGTCTCATGGAGTCATGGTCATGGATTCAAGATCTACAATCCTTATATAGGTCATTTTTTCATTTGAGAAAGTTTGAACAAAATATAGTTCAAATTTCACAAGTGTGTGACATAGTTTTAGAAAGTCTGTATGAGATTCAAGAATTTGTGACTAGTGTTTGATAAAACTTTCTCAAATAGGAAAATGAGCTATATAACAATTGTAGATCTTGCTGAGATGATCAAACTTGGTATTCAGAGTTTTTTCATCTGAGGTCATTTAGTGTCTCATTTGAGCAAGTTTGACCAAGTCAAATTTGGTCAAATGAAAAAACAACACTTTGACTCTAGTATTATGAACTCTAAATGACTTCAAAATGAAAAGTTTTGAATACCAAGTTTGTTCAACTCATCAAGATCTACAATTCTTGTTTTGGTCAACTTTCCATTTGAGATAGTTTGGATGGTTCAAATTTGTGATTTTTAAATTTCGATGCTTACAAACTAGTTTTCGGAACCCTAGATTGTCTCAAATTGAAAAGTTTTGAATACCAAGTTTGTTCAGCTCATCAAGATCTACAATCCTTATATAGGCTATTTTTTTATTTGAGAAAGTTTGAATAAAATGTAGTTCAAATTTCACAAGTGTGTGACATAGTTTCAGAAAGTCTATATGAGATTCAAGAATTTGTGACTAGTGTTTGATAAAACTTTCTCAAATGGGAAAATGAGCTATGTAACAATTATATATCTTACTGAGATGATCAAACTTGGTATTCAGAGTTTTTTCATCTGAGGTCATTTAGTGTCTCATTTGAGCAAGTTTGACCAAGTCAAATTTGGTCAAATGAAAAAACAACACTTTGACTCTAGTATTATGAACTCTAAATGACTTCAAATTGAAAAGTTTTGAATACCAAGTTTGTTCAACTCATCAAGATCTACAATTGTTGTTTTTGTCAACTTTCCATTTGAGATAGTTTGGATGGTTCAAATTTGTGATTTTTAAATTTTGACGCCTATAAACTAGTTTCCATTTGAGAAAGTTTAGACGGTTTAAATTTTGAAGCACTAAATGATTTCAAACGAAAAAGTTGTAAACAACAAAGTTTCATAACTTTTTGAGATCTACAATTTTTATTTTGATCATTTCTCTATCCAAGGTCGTTTGAATAATATCAGGATAATATCCGTTTTTAAATATCCGGATATATCCGACACTTAACCGGATTATCCGATATCCGCCGGATATCGATGATATTACATCCGTATTTGATATCCACCTAAGATATCCGTTTTAGTATTTGTATCTGAAAAAAATTACGGATATACAAGTAACTATCTAGATAAGTGTTCATATTTGTTCGGTCGAACGGACGGTCGAATAAATATCCGTACCGTTTTCATCCATAGATATGAGGATAGGCCGATCGGGCATGGACATGACGCCAAGCAAAGATAGTGGCCATGCACCGTGCAACAAGCAAGCTAAGATATCATATGGACGGATCGGATCGGAGGAGTGGAGTGGTGTTATTAGTGGCCACGATGCATCAGCAACATACCAAATATATGGCCGGTGAGTGTGTGTGTGAGCAGGGCAGGAAAAGGGGCACTCATGGTGTCTAATAATTTCTATATATGGATGGATGGATGGACTATGGGAAATGAAAGGTTTTTTCGCTCAAGTGAATCAAATGGGAGAAATCTTTATCCCGGGTGGAAGTGGAGCAATTAACGTAAATGGTGAGATTGACCATTTTTTCCAAATAAAGAATGGCCTTTGTCAAGCAGACCCGGTATTATACTTGTCCAAACGGGCCAAGCCCGCTGGGCCGGCACTGACCTGGTCTGGAAAAGCTCGGCACTGACACGGTGCGACACGGCCTGGCCCGTGCCCGTGCCTGGCCTGGCCTGCCACCGTGCCCGTGCCTGGGCCACGACTTCGGCCCGCAGTGTTGGCACGGGCACGGCACGGAAAATGGGCCGGCACGACGCGGCCCGGTCGTTTCCTACCGTTGGATTGACTCTAGATGAACCCTGGCCATTGGATCACAAGAAGCAACATATATAAATGTCACTCTCTACAGTACCCTAGCTCCTCTGCCTCCTTTCTCCTTTCTCCCGTCTCCCTGTCCCTCTCGCTCTCTTCCCGCAGGGATGCACGCAGGAGCCGCTGCTTCACTCCGAGAGGAGGCCGCGTGGGGCCTTGCGCGTAACGACGGTGGGACACGTGTGCGGCTGCGCGTCGCCGCACGGCGGCGAGACCCGTGGCGGTGGTGGCGCTCGTCCTCGCAGCAGCAGCGTGCGCTCATCCTCGCAGCAGCAGCGTGCGCTCGTCCTCACGGCGGTGGCGCGCTAGACCAGGCCGGCTCGAGCCCGCTGGACGGCCGTGCTCGTTGGCACGACACGGCACGGCGAAGGAGCTGTAGTGTCGTGCCTGGGCCAGGATGTCGGCATGGCGACATGACATGGCACGGTCAGTGCGTCGTGCCGAAGCGTGCCGTGCCCAAACGTGCCGTGCCGAAACGTGCCCGTGCCGTGCCAAGGCCATGCCGCCCGTTTGGACAACTATACCCGGTATCTACTCTTTTGTTCAACATTGTTGCTGGCATATTAACGGTCCTCATGAATAGAGCCAAAGAAAAACGGTAGTTAAGTGACTCGCCTCTGAATATTGCTAAGGCCTGATAAAAAAACCTACCATCGGTCCATATCCAAAATCCGCCAGTCTCTTATCTTGTCCCCTTCATCATGCACCAACACCCCCTTCCGGCCTTCTTCCCTTTGTATATGGTTCCTTGCACACCAGCGACCAATGGTGTCGCCACCCAAACGATGGCGGTCGCTACCCCTTCCTATTGTTATGATAGCAGCCCCACCCTTCCTCTCCTATGCTGACTAAGGGCGGCCGCGCCCTAACCCTGCCCACGCTGACCCAGCAGGGACAAGGTGCATTCAGCAGGGGAAAGGCGGATACGATGGGGGTGGGATTGAGCAGGCCAGATCCGGCGGTGGTGGAGGAAGCCCGACATGAGAAGCTACAACCATCATCTTCGAGCTTTATAAGTGTGTCTCAATCCAGATCTTGTGCTAGTAGCGATGGATTTGGCCGGTGCTGGTAAAGGGCACGTCCGATGCTTAGTGGAGTGTGTCTAGTGCTCAATGGAGATGTGCTGGTGCTCCAGTGCGGGTGATAGCAGATCCGACCGATGCTGGCGAAGGGGCGACTAGCGAGCCATATCGGAATGGTGGATTGCTTGGTTGGGCATGGCGGTGTAGCCTCCTTCATTCCACATTGGTACACTTCCAAATCCCTTCCTTGAGCTTCATCTTCATCTATGTCATCCTCATATCTTCTTATTCCTCTATATGAGGTGGGGCAGATCTACGACGGCCATCAACAGCAAGCTTGAAGGGAGAGGGCGCGTCAGTGACAAATCTCATTAGGAGGACGAGGTGGCTCTATAGGAGATGGACTCTCTCAGCATGCAGCGTGCATATTCGTGGGTATGGGAGCGGGTTCATCGATGATGACAACAATAGTGAGCTCAATAGTCAGTCCGACGGTGGTCGTCCGATGGGCTTGGTGACGAGAGTCTAAGTTTCTAGGAGATGGACTCCCGAACACCCCTCTAGGATCACTAGGGGACTCAGGGGCTATACCCATCGGGTACGCTCACACATACCCGTCGGCCAAGGACCAGGTCAAGCCCGAGCATGCCCTCGACCTCTGCTCAGGACTCGGGGCCTCGCTGAGGCCCCAGGTTCCGAACTAACGGCCGCCTGAGCCTCATCCTCGAGCTCACCCT